TGATAAACAAATTTATAGACATTTGTAGAATTTATATCACAAAAGCAAACAAATTTACACACACAATGAAAACAAAAAGGAGCACCAAACAGGTGTAACCCAAGAGACATGCAAAAGAATATCCAAGCAAAAGAAACATTTCATTTCAGAGATCTACCAAGTAGTCAGCATACTGAGATAATGTATGGACTCCTTGCACATAATCTGCTGCAGCGTCTTCACTTGTTTTATTCTTTCCAAGGTTAACACCAAGAATACCAGGACCAGCTTTCCCTCCATGCTTGACTTCATCTCCTGATGGAGATGAAGTACTAGATGTTTCCAACTTTCTCTTACCATGCTGAGCACCCAATCGTTTGGCAACCGCAACGATTCCTTCACTATTGAAGCCACACCTATTTATTATAGCACTGCCACCAATAAAAGGATTCTCACTTTTCAGCTTTCAAAATCAAGCATTTTGACTTTCTAATATATGATAAGTATCAAGCTTTCTAATTATTACAAAAAAGGAAATGAACTTCACTGGAAAACCAAAAAACATAAAAGCAGTTCAAGCTCAGACAACATAATAGATCTTGATAGTAAAATAATCTGATTAGACATACGTTCTTACCCTTCATTTGGCAACCTAAATATACGTGGTTTTGGGTTGCCTTCCTGTGGAATGGGAGTTACTGAGCCAACCTCAACAAAGCCAAAACCTAATCCAAGCAATCCTTCAACAGCCTCAGCATTCTTGTCAAAACCAGCAGCAAGACCAACAGGATTTGAGAACCTTCTTCCCCACACATCAAGGCCCAATATAGGAGGATCTGGCCTCTTCTCCCTTGGAACCCATCCTCGGGCTGCAGCAGAGACCGCCAGCTTGTGAGCAACCTCTGGATCCAGAAATGCAAAGAACGGATTTACAAGTTTTGTTGCTGAGAATAGCCAGCCACTGCATGTATTTTGAAACATAATAAATGTTATTTTCACACAAACCTTGTAATAAACAACAGTCGGCCAGAAATAAAAAAAGGGGATCAAATTACAAGTAACATGCTCAGCCAAAGGGAAAAGGGAGAATCGGAAGTGGTTCAAAGTACTTATGTAAGCCAACAAGATGAAGAAGATTGTCAAAAGAATCTCATACACCAAACAGCAAATACAAAAAATGCCTATATGTGTATGATGATCAAAAAACTTTTGTACATATAATATCCAAGTAATTCAGACAAACAAGCTCATAGAAGCACAGCAAAATCCTTTCAATATTCTGCCTCGGCAAGAAAATCCAGCTAATTGAAGAAACCATCAGAAAGCATAGGCAATCAGTTCTCTCTAATTTAAGAAGCACCATGCTCAAACCCCACGGAAATAAATATTTACAGTTGATCTTTTGGAAATGTGATGCACAGCTGGCCTTCAAAAGAAGATGGAAGAGCAGAGCATGGAATGCAGCTCCTTTGGCACTTATGTCGGTATTTTGAAGGAAGAACAACATAAGAGCTTCTAAAGGAAGGAACTGTTACCTTTCTTAAAAAAGAGCTTCTAAAGGATCAGAAAATAAAATTGTACAGTTGCGAGCTAGTCTTCTCATTTTTGGTAAAATTTTGGAGCACCCACGAGGTTCATGTTAGTTTAAATGACTGGGTGACAATAGAGAACCATATAATGCAGGCTCTCTACCTTTTGTGTACCACTTGTATAAGGGGGGTTTACCCACATCAATAAATTCATTACTTTATGGCATCTTTTTTATAGGCTGTTCCAACTCTTAAAAGCATCTTTTAGGTTTTTATAGGATGTTCCAACTCTTACTAAGAGTATTACTTCCACAGAAACAACGTAGAGATCATCTCCAACCCCCAGTCCTACCCCTCTGAAAAAGCAAAAAGTCAAACCAAAAAAAGATGCTGGTAGCTTTACTATCTCTCTCCTCTTTGCCTGAATCTCCTATAGTCTAAGATGCTGACTGCTCTTTGAATACAGAGTTCCTCCCATTCCATATGAATTGAGACCTAGAAAAAAAAAGTTAAGAGCTAAAACTTAGAAAACTCCTTTGTCAATGTATTGCTAGCCCCTTTAAAACAGTATATGCATTAGAACTGTCAATAACTTTTATTTTTTTTGAATTTATATGGTAAACTCCCTCAAAGATCCTGGTGTTATAGTCATCTGTGGCCCTTTTACCACTTTCGATAATATTAACCGCACAAAAGTATAATGTAACATTATATTCTCTAGCCTACCAAAAATCTAACCAGCTATGCATGCAAGTAGCAAGCAATTTACACCAACAATACAAACGAAACAAGAAAGAACTCTTCCCTCTCTCATCATTGAAACTTTTGGATCCTTCAAGGATTCTCCAATTTCTTTCTTCCCATAAATCATAATAGCAAAAGATACAAGAAAGAGAAGTGTTTAACAATCTATTTCCCTAACTCCCAACTTGCCATCATCTCTGCCACAAAAGTTTGGTTATTTCTTCACCCTTCCAATTTTCTTTTAAATTTTCATATAACTAGTTGCAACAATTCTCCATCTTCAAGCCTCCCTCTCAATAGAAGTCCTAATAGTTCATGGGGAACTGTCCACTTGTCCTAACTTGCATTCATCACTCTGTCAATACTCAATACTGTATGTTGTGCAGCTCCCCAATCAGAATTAGTTCTGACCTTCTCATGTTGATACACAGTCCAAACATTGCCTTGAATCATATGAAAGTTCTGAATAACCTCTATCCTATACGGTCTAGAGTTCATATAAAATCAATGTATCATCTGCAAATAAGAGGTGTGAAACTAATATCCCGCCTACTGCGCCTCTTATTCTATATTCCCTCTAGTAACCACCTATAAATATATGGTTCTTTCCAATAGCTTGCTTGAAGCCTCCAAAATCTACATCAGTTACCACTTTTAGGGCGCAGAAAGAGAGACAAGATGGAGAAATTTTGCGTCATTCGAACTCTAATATTCACATTATTGAGTTGATTATTTTATGACACATTACTGAGTTTATAAGCCAAAAATTATCTCTGTTTTGGAATCCTACTACTCTTGGCCTTGGTTGAGTCTCCTATCTAGATATGCTAAAGTATACAGAAGAATAGTAAGCTTCATGCATCCTCTCAAAAATCATAACCCATATCGGAAGAATGTCTTTGGATGGGAAGTTGCAGCTATACTAAGATGTAAGCGCACCATTTACTTTTTCTCTTCTCGTGTGTGCTTATGTGTCCCCACATGTGGATTACACTGGGTCTGTCGTTGTTGTTGTTGTATGCTTGTGTGTATGTGGGTGTATATTCAACCAATGCACCAAAAAACAATTACACCATATCACCATTTAATTTCCTTTGTTTGGTTCACTACGGGATTCATGAAAAGAAATCTATACACAAAACATGCATTTATTTGTCTCTCAACAATTCCACAGCCAATGCTGTAAAAGGTAATATCTCAAATATTTAAATTCAGTACCAGAAGGTGGCCTCATCAACCGTACTTGCATAAGCTCCCCCAGCTATTAGTAGACCAATAGTGGCTCCTGTAAACAACCTTCCCTACAGTTTTAACCAAGATACTGGATTAAAATACAAGAAGAATCGAGAAGAAATTACTAACCCTTGCAAAAGCCTAAGTAACTTAGAGTCCTGACCTCAGAGGCGATTATCATACCCACCTTTAGGCCATCAATATTTATTAAAATTGGGAAATTTCCAGATTAAACTTCTAATATTCTCGAGAAAAAGGGTAAAAGTTTTTGAAACTCTGTATGGGGCCAACCCTTAAGACCAATTGCAGCCTTTGAAACTCTGGGATAATGAGTCCGCCCCTATACCCTTTTCACTTAAATGCCATGCTTANTACTATTATCAGTGTCCCAAGACAACACATCACCTTATTTGAAATGGATCCATGACATAACACATCACCAAATTTGACATGTACATGCATATTAAATATGCCACCGGTTATGCAAAAAAAAAAAAAAAAAAAAAAAAAAAAAAAAAAAAAAATACAAACTTTGGCCATCTGGGTCACTCATTCATACATACAGATTATTTAAAAAACTTCTCCTATAGTTTTCAGCAAGACGATTACTCTAGTATCATAAGAGTCCTCTAAGTTGACAAAATTAAAGATACAAAATTGTAAAACCAAGTAGAAGGGATAGAAAAGGAAGTACCTTTTTAGAAGAATGAGGAATCTTAGGTGGAGGAGTAGGAGTAACATTAGCTGAAGAAGAAGTGCAATAATGTCTGGGAACAGAGCTTGGTTTTAGCTTACGGTACAAGCTTTCTCGAATCAATGCAAATCCAACCCTTTGTCTCATTTTCTTTAAAAGAAAGAAAAATCAAATCTTTAACAATGAATAAACCCTTCAATTTTACAACTCAAAAGTTGTTCAGTATATTGGAGGAATAAAAGAGAGACAGCAACTGCTGTTGATGCTAAGATACAAATGACTGAAAAGGGTATTTGGGGCACAAGAGCGGGAGCGAAAATGGGAGTGTACAAGGTGGGATGTTTCGGGG